GGGAATGTTTCATATGTGGAAGTTATTAAATCTATGTAAGATTAGAAAACTTAATGCAAGAAGGATGTTTCCCATGGAATTGATCTCCATTGGAATCCTCTTTAATATCTTTTGACAAGTCTTTGTGACTTTGTACATATTCATTACAAGAGGATCTGTGCATATAAGTTTAGAATCTAACAGATTTCGATAAATGATAGGAATTTGGAATTCTTACATTTTCGATAAGGATTTGGGAGTGTGAAATTAGAATCATTGAAATTATGTTCAATTGGTTAATTTCACAAAGTAAGGATCATAGACAAACATAGAATGCATACTTGGTGTATGGAAAAGCTATTGTTTAGAAAAAACATAGTGTACATGCTTGGAGCATGGGACAACTAGTGTTTTTAATTTAAGTATTAAGTTGATAAAACTGAAACAATGAATAAGTAATCAGTATGGTGATAAATAAAAGGTGTTTTATTTATATTCATAGTTTTTGATACCATATCATATTCAATTATTCTTGTGTTTCATTTTGCATGTTTTGACTTCCAGAATAAACTAGGTCATTCTTCCCGAATGACTAAGTTATTCAAATCATCCACAGTCGGTCATATGTTTGAAGTAGATATGAATCAACACTATCATGGGTTGGTTTGTAGAGGTCTAAGTTGTTGGATAAAGTGGTGCTACAACACTCATGAGTGCTCATAAGTTCTGAGTATTGGATTCAACCCGCGCTCATTGGAATCACTTCATGGATTTTATCACGAGTGATCATGAGACGATAATATCTTATATTCTTCAAACCTAGAGATATGAGTTGTTACTATAAGTTGGTTATACATTGACTGCACGAAAATGCATTGGTAACTCGATGTTATAAAACGTGCCTTTGTGTATGACTCAACAAGTAGTAGAACAAGCCATATGAGTCGAAGTTTATCCATTCCTTTTACCTTCGGGATAGAAGCAATATATGTGGGCCCCTTGATGATTTAATGATGATTCATGTAAGTGCTTGGCCAAGCCAGGACTGATTTGAGCTGTTCAATCAGTCAGTCATCATGAATCAGAAATCGGGAAACAACAAATGGACAGAGAGAATGATTTATAATCCATGTCTCATTCCATATGATATCTATAATGGAGGAATATATGATCCCTTATCTAATGCACAAGTCATTGACAAAGGTCAGAGTTCATCAACAAGGTCAGAGTTTGACAGAAGCTTTTGAGAGCTACAATTGTTGATCGGTTCCTGAAGTCATACGCAATAATAGTTTTAGACTTATCCAAGTGGGAGACTGTTGGATTAATGTCTAAGTCCATAACTATAATTAGTAAGACTTGACCCGACCCGGCATGGTCCATTTGGGTTGCATGGCATCATGCATTTGGATAGACTATAATGAGAGAAATAACACATAAGGTTTGTTAATATATTATAAGTTCTAATATATTAATAAGATTATTTAATTAGTATTGATCAAGAATTAATCTAGAATTAATTAAGTGATCAAAAGAAGACTAATTAAATATATGGGTTGATTGTGTAAATCATCCATACTTGTATAGTGGGCTAATGCTCCATGGATTGTCAAGTTGGGCTAAAACCCATAAGATGCTCCATGGATGCTCCGTGGTATATCTGAACCCATGGATCCAAGGGAATGGAAAGCCATGACAGTTAGGGTTTACCCTAATTGTCACTAACTATATAAGCATCTTAATGTTGACAAAATCGGACACTATGAGTGATAGAAAGGGCTAGCCGATTTTATGAAGTGTTCCATTTCTCTCAAGTCATTCCATGTGCATTTGGTGTTGTGTGAACCATTTGAGGTGTCACACTTGGGGCACTAGGCACTCAAGCTTCATGAAGACATTCTACATCAAAGAGGTATGTAATTCTAACTTGAGATATTCATATGAATCCATGTTATTATGCTAGTTAGGATGAATACCTTGGAAAGTTCATATTTGCATGTATAATAGAGAAAACATAGATCCAAGGTATTTAGGGTTGCATGTACACTTAGGAGTGTTAAAATGCTTAAAACCCAACACATGGTACTCCTAAAGGTGTCACCTTGGAAAGATGTCACCCGATTCAGAAAGATGGGCACGTTAGGCCCCATGTATATCGGTAATTTCAAGGTTTTGGCCCGGGTGGGCAGGGTTGCTTATCGATTGGAGCTACCTGAGGAGCTTAGTCAGATCCATAGCATGTTTCACGTTTCTCAGTTGCAGAAATTTTTAGTTGATGATTCCGCGATGGTTCTGTTGGAGGATATTTAGGTGGATGATCACTTGAATTATATTGAGAGACCGATTTCCAACCTTGACAGGAAGACGAAAACCTTGAGGAACAAGGTTGTAGAATTGGTGAAGGTGTAGTGGTAGCACTGAAAGGGTTTTGAGTGGACATGGGAACTCGAGGACGAGATGAGGGAGCATTACCCTAGAGTTATTTGCGGCAGCAGACTTCGAGGATGAAGTCTGATTCAAGTATATGTGTGTGTGTGGGGGGGGGGGGGGGATTGTAACATTCATATTTTCGGGATTTCCCTTTTATCCCTAAAAACATAAAACATTTAAATTTGGGTACTTGGTCAGTATGATGGACATACGCTAGGAGTACGTTAGGCATACTAGGCTGATATGTTGATCGCGGAAGCATCCGCATACATTGGGCGTACGTAAAGTACGTTGGGTGTACGACCACCTAGGGCAAACCCTAATTCTTATGGTTTAACCCCTATTTAAACACCTTAAGTTGCTCTTGGACCTTCATATAAACAACCTCCAACTCTCCAAACCCTGAGAACAAAACCCTAATTTCCATTTGAGTGTTTTGAGCTTGGAAGTGACCTTTGAGGGTGTTTTTGGTAATCTTGAAGGGGAAGGAGCTCATGGAAGTTGCATTGGTGAAGTTGAAGCTTGTGGATCCAGAACCATCACCAACTTAGAAAGCTTTTGGAGGTATAAAGCTCTCAACTTAATGGTTGGCTTGATGTATTTGGATGGGAAGAGCTCTAGGTGATCGCATCGCATACACCATGTTGTTCAGCATTTTGTTGGCTTGATGTATTTGGATGATTATTGACATACTCTGATTTTCACTATGGTTTTATATGAAACATTTGGTTGATGGTCTTTTAATTAAATAACAATGAAAATTTTAGCTCTAATTTTTGGGACGTTACATGGAGTGTAACTACCATTCCAGAATCACTTGTAATTGCTAATTAGACTTATTTGTTCACTGAAAAAATGGTGCAAAACACATTTTAAGGTACTTATATGTGTAAAACATTACAAAAATACAATAACTAGATATTTCAGACTAGTTCTTTGCATTTTAGAAATGTTTTACGCATTCCGAAATATATATAATTGTTTGTAAATAAAAATGCAAGTAAATTAAATAGTAAAACTCACCTAATTTGTTGAGTCCATAGTTTATAAGCTTAAAAAACTCCGTCTGAAATGTCGGTAGCAAGAGCTTCGGAATTTCACTTGCCAAAACGTTATTTCGGTTGTTTGGGTATGGACCCTATATATAGCATTAAACTACAATACTTAGTTTGACCCAATTTGGTCTGTTTCAAAATGACATTTGACCCATTTTGGTTTGTTTTGGAATGACCATTTCAGAAACGACGGATAGTTTAAAAAAAATTGTTATTTTTATTGAAATAAAGTAATATGTGTGTGTGGATTGATGTTTATGTGTATACTAATATGTATGGTTAGATGTTTATGTGTATACTAATATGTGTGTGTGGATTGATGTTTATGTGTATACTAATATGTGTGATTTTATCTCAATTTTTCATGTTTTAACAAAGTTATGAAGGAAGATGAAATATGATATTATTGTTTTGTATACCATGATCTAAGAATATTGGGTGTGGGCAACTAGTCATAACACCATTTTAGTGCCACATCATATGTCACATCATCAATGGTGTAGTAACACCAAGTGGGGAAATTATCACCATGTTCTATCTTGTTATGACATCAACTTTTTTTTTTCCATTTTTTAATTTATTTTTTATTTTTTTCAAAAATCTTTTTTATTTTTAATTTAGACAAGTATTTTTTAAATATAACATAATAAATAAAACATAATGTTTAAAAATTATAAATAACATATAATAATTTTTAAACATTAAAATTAACATAGATATTAAATTACACATAACATTCAAATTAAAAAAAATAACATCCAGATTCAAAAAAAAAAAAAAATACAACGCTATTCGTTATCGTTATTGTTACCATAAAAGATATAATCCGCCAAGTATTCTCGAAGTTGTCTGTGTTTATTTGCGTCCTGAATGTCAACAACGCGATGAAAATATTCTGTTGTTCCTGGTTGAAACTGAACGTGTCTAGGCTCCGTTGGGATATAGTGTGCAATATTTCGCCCTTTATCTTCTACTACCATGTTATGCATTATGATACATGCATACATGATATATCGTACAGTTTCTAAATCCAATGGTCGTGCTGCATGTTCGACTATATGTCACTTCGCCTTCAGCACTCCAAAAGCGTGTTCCACATCCTTACGTGCTCCTTCTTGTCTTCTTTTAAAAAAATTGTCTCATTCTTTAACCGGGTGGCGGAATGCCTTCACGAATGTGGAATACTGAGGATATATTACATCTGTAAGGTAATACCCATATTTGTATTCGTTTCCATTCACCGTGAAAGGAGCATCCGGGGTCTTTCCATTCAAAAGATCGTCGAATATTGGCGACTGATCAAGAACGTTGACATCGTTGTTGGAACCCAAAACCCCAAAAAATGCATGCCAAATCCATAAATCTTGAGAAACAACAGCCTCTAAAACCAGCGAAGGTGATCCGTGATGACCACTTGCATATTGTCCTTTCCATGCTACTGGACAATTTTTCAATTTCCAGTGTGTGCAATCAATGCTTCCGATCATTCCGGGAAACCCATGACGTTCTTCGCGCCACCTACAATTCTTGCAAATCATGCAACGAAGGTGTCCGCAAATACACTTCTCCAAATGTTTCAACAACACCCCTTGACAATGTATACAAACTCTCCCTTGCAGTTCTTTCGGACATTCTCATATAGTCGTCCATGGTGCCGATTGACTCCCCCATAGCCATCAAACGAATGGCCGCAACACATTTCTGCAACGTTGTAAACCCTCGTCTACCTCTAGCATCATATCTTAACTGAAAAAATTCATACCTAAACATAAATTAACTATAGTTTAAAAATATATTGCATATGTTGTAAAATTAAAGAAACATATAGTACATTTTTATTTATTTTGTAAAAAAGTATAGTAAAGAAGCGATACCGGCTTTCCAAGGCGTTGGCGATTCGTAAGAACACATCCCTACTCAAACGAAATCTTCTTTTGAAGTCATTCGCCCCGTATACACAATTTTCCGCAAAGTAATCGCGATACAAATGTTCGTGTCCTTCCTCGCGATTTCTGTTTAACATCGCACGTCTTGTTAGTAGCAAGTCGGTAGTGTAATACTGGTACATCAGCTTGAAGAAAATATCGTCATCTGAATCATCGGACAAGTCGAAAGGCTCCATATTTTTTTTGAAGATAATTGAAACTATGTGGAGAGAAGAAGAGAAATTGTGTGAATTATTTTATAAAAATGATAGGTTTTTATAGGGTAAATGGTTTTTTTTAATAGTTATTTTTTTATACCGTTGCAATTAAAATGTTTGCAACGGTCTCATTTTCTGCGTTTCATCTGGTCGTGACGCCAACGAAATCCAATCTCGACGAGCTGCAACGAGCAGGGGGCGGTGTTCCCCCGTCAAGACGTCGTTGTCAACGGCCACGTCACCCGCATCGTTTCTCGTTTGGCCCATACCTCATCGTCTAAAAGGGTTACAATGTTCTTTTTTAGGGTATATTTGTCATCATCTTTTATTTCTCTACATTTATTCATTTTTTCGTACAATACCAAATAATATCGATTGATGAGTCAATTTATTCCGCCTAGCAACCAAACATGAAATTTTTTCATGAAATGATAATAATCAATTTTACTATTTTGTCCATTTCATTACATATTTCATTTTTTTTTTCTTGTTTTCATTCCATTCCACACAATAAAGCAAACTCATAATGTTACAATCGATGAGATCGAATACGGGTTACAAACCTAAGTACTTTGATCTTAAATAATCACTAGGTAAATTTCTGCAACTTGTTTCTCTGTATCAAATTGCTTTAACCATAAATAATCAAAACTGTAATTAGTTTTTTTTTTTAATTATTATTATGAAATTCGAAAATAATTATTACAACTTATTTATATAAACTATTATTTGACATTTAAGTTATCAAAAACTCATTTAAATTCATTTTTGTGTCCGAATTTGTTTTTATCAAACAAATTTTGTTACAATGAGTCTTTTCAGCTGCCGACGTGGCGACGTTATTACAAAATCACAATATATCGTGCATGATTTAATCAAGAAAATTTCCCTCCATCTCAACAACTTTCAAAAACAACGATTTTAATCTCCCGTGGCGGAAACTGACCCTGACCCAAAACATCTCCCCCATGACGGCAGTGAAGCACCCAACAAGAGGAAGAAGATCACTAACGCCATCATCAGCGGCGGTTCTGCTCAGTGGAAACATCCTAACGAAATTGAAGACATCGCCACCAACAAACCGCAGAATGAAGAAATCCAAGAGGTTGATTACGACACCATTGAAATAATGCAGGAGATTCTTGCTTATAGAAATCGGAAAGGAGTGTGGCCATGTGAAAGCCCAGATGATTTGCAAAGATTCTGCTTTCCTTATATTCATGTGGGCAGTGTGAACAAAGGTGGGTGGTTAAAGAAAATGGAAGAGATGAAGAACAAATTCAACAATGAGAGTGCTCCACATGGGGATGTTGATAAAAAGGAATTCGAATTGTGGAAGAAGATTTGGGGGAATGAACAAAAGGGCGATGATGATGATGATGATCCGAGTGCAGTTTCATGTAAATGAGTTTCCTGAACTTTTTTTTTTTACTGATTTTTGTATGTAGATGATGATTTCTTACCTCAATAAATTCAATGGCGAATCAAGAAAATACATTGATTCTTTTGTAAAACAAACTTATGTTGTTTGAAGTTCAATTTTTGCGCATTCTTAATAATATATCAATAATTGTTTTCCTAATATAATATATTATTTTATTTAATCAACAATATGAATAAAAATAATTCTTATCCAACTTTATTCGTTATTTGGAGTCATTAAGTCAAAGTATAAATATATCATCTGATCCTTCACGATTCAATCAAAAGATTTCATCCATCTCGAAAACAACTTTCAGAAACCCTGATATGATCTCCCATATGGCGGAAGCTAACCCCAACCTTCTCCCCAATAACGGCGGTGATCCACCGAACAAGAAGAATACTACCACTGCCACCGCCGTCGGTGGTTCTAAAGAAGTCAAAATTGAAGACACCGGCAACAGCAAACCCAAGAAAGGTAACGTTGAAGAGGTGAACATCTACAATGTTCTTTGTATTCGATTGAACATTGGAAACGCAAGGGGATGGATTAGGAAAATGAGAGAGCTTAAAATCAAATTCAACACCGACAGTGCTCTAACGGATGATGTTGATAAGAAGGAATTCGAATTGTGGAAGAAGATTTGGGGGGATGAACCAAAGGGCGATGATCATGATCCAGATTTTGGTTCATCTATGTAATCGTTTTTTATACAGACTTTTGTATGTAAATCATGAATTCTTATCTCAAGAAGTTGAATGGTGGGTCAAAAAAAAATACATAGATTTATTTGTAAATGAATAAAACTTAATAGAGTGTATACTAAGATGTTAGATGTTTTGAAATTGAAATAATAATGAAGTAGTTGGATTTTATTTATTTATTTATTATTTTATTTTTATATTGAATTCAAGATATATTTTGGATAAACAAATCAAATTTGGCGTGGTTTATCTTGGTTGCGCCACAACTACCTAATAAACTTTTTTATTTGTGGAGATTTTAAGTTGTCATGTCATACCAAAGATTAAGTTTATAAGCTAGTTATTTTATTTTATTTTCAAAAAAAATTATTATATAAAAAATATTCATTTACATGCATTTTATAAATTTTAACTTGTTTATTAAGTCGTTAGTATCAAAAATAATTTTGTAGTTAGTTTATAAATTGTCAGCTAGTTTGTCGACTAACATTAATAATTTCAATTTAAAAAATAAAACAAAAACCACGATAAAACCTATAAAAAAATTACCAACTTTATATTTTTAAAACTAAAATAATAAAACCAAAAAAAATGCAACGAACCACAAATACTAATTATACAGCAGTTAGTAGAAAAACTAATACTAAAATATTTATTAACAAAAACTCGAATAAAATATGGTTAAAGACAACAAGAAATTAAAATAGCCACGAATATTTATGTATGTATAGAATCCAATAATCCACGATATATGTCGTTCATTTCAATTGATGTAAATCAACGACGCAAACTCTCGATCCGCATCATCTGTTCTTATTGGCTGCCTTTAACCCCTACACAACCTATAAAAACACCAGGCAACCATTATATCATCATCTATGTTCTACCAAAAACATCTCGTCTTTACCTGCTGAATGATGCTTTGACCTAGTGGATCGTTGGTGGCCATATAGCAGTAGTTTGGTTCAACAACATCATCTTCATCTTCTGACCCTGAAGACCAATAGCCTTCATCACACCCCATTGTTTGTCTCGCCATTAGACACATGTTTCTTCCAGTAACCACATCATCATCATTATCATCTCCGGACGACCAATATCTTTCCACATCTCTAGACACGGTTGTAACAAATGCCTTTTCACTTTTAGCCATCTCTTGGGATCTTAAGACATGGTAAGCAGAATCCTTGATTTTTGGTTTTTGTGGAATATCAGCCATCAAATCTTTTGCAAAATGGTTTGCATGACCACACTTATGACACACAATTTTAGGTTTGTCAGATTTCGGACCTAATTGAGGTTCCTGGGTGGAATTGAGTTTAGTGATGTTTGGTTTGTAGGCTGGTGGAATTTCCATAGTGGGTTGAGGTTCCAGAGCAAAGTATGGTTGGGGATTGTTTTGATAAGGAGCATGAAAACAATTGTGATATGGTTTGTGACAGGGATTAAATGGACGTTTGTATTTCATGGAGAGCACTCCTGTTGGAAACGGAGTTCATAGTCCATAGCTTCGGAATCAAGATTACCATCAATATGATAGTTTTGAGTAGATATGATAGGCAAGTAGGGTTGAACAGGTGGAACAACGGATTTCAAGGGGCCCGAGATGGATGAGTTTAGAATAGATGGTTCAACGGAACTAACGAGAGCAAGAGGACCTCTGAAGAGTTCTCTTAAGGTATAAGCAACGTTTGTATCATGACCTTGAAGTTCATCAAATAGTTGGTAAAGCTTTAGCTTCTTCAGAGATCCATTGCTTTGAAGACAAGATTTCACGTTTCCCCATCCTTTACCAAGGCTGTTTGTGAACTTAAGGTTGTACTCCAAGGGAGTTCGGATAATCCTATAAGCAGTCATGTTGTTGACTACGATTCAGTATCGCTTGGAGGCTGAGGCAACTGATTCACAAGGAGTTGTTGTAAAAGGTGTCAAACTCGTTTACAACAAATGTTAGACGCTTGTATTTCATATTTTCTTAACCTTTGATTAGATCTTTAAGAGTGTCCTAAATCTCTTTGGCAGATTTACACAACTTAATGTGTTCAAAGAGGGATGGTGGAACACTAAACACCATTTCGGAAAAGGCGACTTGATCAGCATGTAGTTTTTTGATATCGTCTGCAGTAAGAGGTGTTTGGGCGGTTTTCATCTTGGCCCATGAGTTGAGAAACAACATCTCTAACTGTTATTCTAACTAGAACATGAGGTCATTCTTTGACGGATCTCCAGATAGCTTCACCTTTCTCTTTAGCTAGTAAAAACCTTTCCATTATGACTTTCCAATGATCATATTCTTCAATAACTAGCAGTGGGGCACGAGTAGGACAACACACGCTATTTGCTATTTACATTGAATACATTTGTTGAGGATTAGAAGCAGCCATTGAAGTTAAGACATCTTCAAACAAAAGTTGTATATATAAGAACTTTTATCCTGAACACATAAATGATTGAAATACCAAGGTTTGAAAACTCAAACCTTTAGTTAATGCTTAAGATCAATGTCTGCTTACTAAGGAATATTCCAGTCGAGCCTGGAAAGACCAGTCAAGTCTGAGTTAATGCATTCAACAAAATATTAATGCCATAAATGAAGAATGAAAATAATGATCAAGGTCAAGACAATAAATGAAGAACAAGAAGAATGTTTGAAAGAATGACTTGACAAAGAATGGAAGGTGAGGTGAACTAGAATAATGCTATTTTTGGTTGAACAATCCGTCACTTGATTTAAAAGAGAAAACTCCTTTAAATAGGAGAACAACTTACATCGTACTAACCAAATACATACATATGACCGGATAATAGAGTTATTTCTGACACTCTGATTATATAGGTTTGACAAAAGAGATTAATTCTTATGACATGTTAAATCAAGCTAAATGACAAATACAATTAATTCAGACGGATAAAAAACTGTTTCGACATATTATCATTCTGGACACTACTTCCATTTTGGAATGGCTTCGATACGTTTAGAATGTATTCTAATGAACTTATTCTCTGGACGCAAGCTACTCTTCAAACTACACACTGATTTCACACCAACTTATATTTCAGAACTGAGGCTGACTTCGGAATTGTTAAAAGGTTAGAGATTGCTAGAGGTTCACTTTCAGGTTCCAACAATATATTTCATTAAAAAATCATCAACTTACTGAACCAGAAAAAGAAAATAGGTTTAACACCAAACCAAAAATCAAACACGAATTGATCTTTAGATTCAAAACAGAAGAAGGAGCAGTAGCTCGATAAAGAAAATGAGACTTATCAGCTAAGAGAAGGAGCAGTAGCTGGTACCGTCGATCGGAGGTCTGGAGTAGAGATCGAAGATCGGAGAAGGGGCGCCGATATGGTGATGACTTCCAGAGAAGAGAGAGAGAGAGAGAGGGGAAGGGTGGGGTTTGGTGGGTTATTAGTTGTAGATTTATTTTATTTTATTTTTTATTTTTTAAATTTGAAATCAGAAAAACAAATAAGAAGAAAAAAATCATATTAATAAGGCAAAATCCATCATTTTGAAAAAAGACATAATAGGTTGGACAAAAAACACAACAAAATGAAAGTTTAGGACCTTTTGTATTAGTCCAAACATTTTTGGATCAAAGTGATAATTTTAAGCAAATCATAAGGACTATGCAATTTAGTATTTTTTTATTTAATAAAACTTTAAACTAAATTGTTTCTTCTAGAAAATCTTATTGGTCATAAATACAATATGTCCTTAATGGAAGCGATCTTATTCGGAAACGACCGTTTTTTCGCTTAATCGACGACGGACGACAACCCCTTCTTGTTTTCGTCGCCCAAACGCCTCTTTTTTTTTTTCCTTAGAATCCTAGACTCAATAAGAAAAATAATATTAAAAAGATAACAAAAATTTAAGTTGTATTTGATTCGTCATAACTATCTAATAAACTATTTTACTTATGGAGATTTTAAATTGTCATGTTTGCTATACTAAAAATTAGTTTATAAGTTAGTATTATTTTATTTTATTTTCTTTCAAAGTATAAAATTAATTAATTATATAAAACATATTCATTTAAATGCATTTTATGAATTTTAGCTAGCTTATTAACTATTTAATAGGAGTATCAAAAATCATTTTGTAACTAATTTATAAATTATCAGCTAATTTGTCAGCTATTAATTAATTTTTCAGTTAGTACAACATTAATCATTCTAATTTAAAAAATAAAATAAAAACCACAATAAAACGTATTAAAAAATTACCAAATTTATATCTTCAAAACTAAAAGAACAAAACCAAAAAAAATCAACGAACAACAAATACTAGATATGCAGCAGTTTGTAGAAAAACTAATACTAAAATATTTATCAACAAAAACTCGAATCAAATATGGTTAAAGACAGCGGGAAATTAAAATAGCCACGAATATTTATATATGTATAGAATCCAATGATCCACGATATCCGCCGTTCATTTCAATGGATGAAAATCAACGGTGCAGACTCTCGATCCGCGTCATCTGTTCTTATTGGCTGTCTTTATCCCCTACGCAACCTATAAAAACACCAAGCAGCCATTACATCGTCATCTACAGTCTACCAACATCTCACTTCTACATTTCAGTTTTTGAACTCCAAGCAATGGCAGGAAGAGGAAAGTCCATTAAGTCCGCCGCCGTAGCCAAGAAGTCGACATCTCGTAGCAGCAAGGCCGGACTCCAGTTTCCGGTTGGTCGCATCGCTCGTTTCCTCAGAACCGGAAAGTACGCTGATCGGATCGGCGGCGGTGCTCCTGTTTATCTCGCCGCCGTCATGGAGTACCTTGCGGCTGAGGTTCTTGAGTTGGCCGGAAATGCTGCCAGAGACAACAAGAAGACTCGAGTTGTGCCTCGGCATATACAGTTAGCTGTGAGAAACGATGAAGAATTGAGTAGATTGCTTGGAGCTGTTACGATTGCTAATGGCGGAGTGATGCCTAACATTCACGCTCACTTGCTTCCGAAGAAAGCGTCTGTTGCATCTTCTAAAGATGATGAATAGGTTTACGATTTGGATTTTGGATTGGTTTCTCTGTTGTGGTGGCATTCGATTGTGAATGATAGATTTGGGGAATATAATTTGATTTATGCAATTGTAATTCAAAATCATGAATGATATTGTATCTAACGGAATGTCGATTGATTATCTGATTTTGTAATAGAAAAAAAGTTCTAATAGTTTTAGAAAGCATCATGATATCAAACTCATATATTCATTTCCAGTCACTTCATTAATACATCGATGATCTTGAGTTATAGTCTACAAGTTTTATTCAATTACAAACGAATCTGTGTATTTTCTTGACCCACCATTGAATTTCTTGAGGTAAGAAATCATCATCAACATTCAAAAATCTGTAAAAAAAACGATTAGAAATCTTATTTAGATGAACCCACACCTGGATCATGATCATCGCCCTTTGGTTCACCTCCCCAAATCTTCTTCCACACTTCGAATTCCTCTTTCTCAACATCATTCGTCGGATCACTGTCGTCGTTGAATTTGGTCTTCAGCTCTCTCATTTTCCTAATCCATCCCCTAGCGTTCCCAATGTCCAATCGAATATAAGGAGTGCAGAATTCACGCAAATCATCGGGATTATCACACGGAGTTGTTCCTTTCCAGTTTTTATACTCAAGAATCTCATTCAGTAAGTCAAGGTTGTAGATGTTAACCTCTTCGACGTCACCTTTGTTGGATTTGCTGTTGCTGGTGTCTTCGATTTTGACTTGTTTAGAACCACCGGCGGAGGTAGTATTCTTCTTCTTGGGTGGATCACCACCGTCATTGGCGAGACGTTTTGGGTTAGCTTCCGCCATGGGAGATCAAATCAGTGTTTCTGAAAGTTGTTTTCGAAATGGAGGGAAAATTTTGATTGAATCGTGGAGAATTGGATGGTATTTATAGGGATTTAGAAATCGGAATCTTGTGAGAATCTTGTTATAACGTCCGTGCTTGGAAACGACTCACTGAGTTTGACTCCGAGTGACCAATAAAGGTCGATATATATGATTTCAATTCTAATTGTTTAATATTTATAATTAGGGATTATATTTTATTTAAATACCTCGTGAGAGGTATTTCATTTTGATTGGTTTTAATTGTTTTCCATGCCAGTGTTGGATGTGGATCTACTTATTACGATTTAAATTGGTGTGATTAATTAGTTTTGATAACATATGAATTTGATTGAAGTTTTAATAATTTGAAAAGAAAAATAATCGGATTTACATAAACAAGTTGTAATATACTAAAATGTGAATGTTTGATAAAATTTCATACATAACTTCAAACTCTAAATTGTTTGAAATATTGTTAATGTTTAGTGATCGACATCTCACATGAGCTTTGGATTGAGTTTGCATGGTTAGTTTAAATGTTGTGGTTCACTATTTTATTAAAGATGAAAGCAATTAGCTTTGTACAAGTCAATGTCCAATATTGTATATAATACCTAATTTGATCTCATCAGGTGCTTTGGATCAGATTTACGTGAGTTGTTTAGATGTTACGGTTTAACATTTTAGTAAAGATTAAAGTAATTAGCTTTGTAAAACCCATGTCCAATATTGTATATGACCCTTATTTGATCTCATCAACTCATTAGATACAATGACAATGATCCATTTAATTATTTACCAAACAACGAAAAATTTTGATTTTTGAAAAAAAATATTAATCTACATGCATAACATAAAACAATCTCAACGTTCAACGTATTGATAATGAAGATAAAAATAGGAACAAAGTTTTACATGGGTATATAACATAAAACAAGTATAAATAAAGCGACACAAACTTGTTAGGATAACCCGAGCAAGTTTTTTATTTTTTTTTTAAATTAAAGAAAGGAAACTTGCTTAACAAAGGTTCTGAGTCAGCTTTTGCGTACCGACTAATCTTCCGTTGCAAACATGAGACATAACTTCATGTCCTGGAGTCATTACTGATGAACCTTCATTGCAACTAGGACTGAGTAGTGCCATGATTTGAACATAAGTCAATATCTATCATATCTTCCAGATGCCTTACCAACTCACCACAACTCAAGTGGTTCGAAAAACCCGAGCAAGTTATAATAAGTAAAGTTGCAATACACTAAGACGAACTCACAAATACAATTATTCTCTTGTGTTTACAGCGGGTTAAGTTTATACGCTTAAAAGCTGGCTGATAAAGTTTGTCCTACCATAATACAACTCACGATCTTCACTACTTAGTAAAATGTAACTACACAACTCAAAGTGACTTCATGTGGTTGTAACCTAGGTAAACTAGATGTTTTCTTGTGTTGCATATGGTTTTCCTCATAAACAATGCATTTGACTCATTTATATCATCCACTGATTCAATATGGGAAATTAGTGTTATATACATATATACATATATATATATATATATATATATATATATATAATATATATATATAATATATATGTATATAACACTAATTTCCCATATTGAATCAGTGGATGATATAAATGAGTCAAATGCATTGTTTATGAGGAAAACCATATGCAACGACGTGACATGAAGGGTGTCACGACGTGGCATGATAATTAGAGATCGTGTGTCCAGAATAGTTGTCACGACGTGATGAATGTAGTATCACGACGTGACAACAGCTGCAACCCAAGCCCATGATTTTAGGGTTTCTTCCATATTTAAAGCCATTAACTCATGACGTAGGGCATCTTTTTTAGCTTCCAACCTCTCTTAACGAAACCCTAGCCCCATTTCATGTTTGTGAGCTTATTTGATTGATTGGAGGCCTTGTTCTTGGCTTATGGTGAAACTTGAAGAAGAAAGTGTTGGGTTTTGAGTAGTATAACACTCCTATGGTGCACATGCAATCCTAAATGCTTTGGATCTATACATGCATTTTGTTTTCCAAAGCATTCTCCCTATCTAACATACAATTGAAGCTATATAATATAAAATTTTAGTTTGGATGCTTACCTATTGAGTAAGGTAGAGTTCTTGACCTTTGAAAGCTTTAACACCTCAAGTGTGATGCCTCTATTGGTTCACAAACACCAAAATACAAAAGGAGGCTTGAGAGAATAAGTTGGTTATCTCCAAGATACGATGTAGCCGATTTTGGCTCTAGAGGAGCTCTATTTATAATGTTGCACATGCTAGGGTTACACTTTGCAAACTCTAATAACCCATGACTTTCCACATTCTCATGCTCTAAGGATTTAACCTCCATGGACTATTCATGAATTAGTTTAGCCCACCTACATGATCATGAATCATTGGCCCACACTACAAGAATGATTTATTTACATAATCAATCCCTCCATATTTAATTAGTCTCTTTTGATCACAACATTAATTCCAAATTAATTATTAATCAATACAAATTAAATAATATGGTTTCATATTAATATATTATACTTGTAATATATTAATAAACCATAAACAACCTTATTCTTAAAATCCATCCTATCAAGTTGCATTGGTGAAGGTAACCCAAAAAGGACCATGCTACAATTAGGTCAAGTACATCCCAATTATAATCATGGGCTTAGACACCAAATACAATAGTCTCCAACTTGGATAAGTCTACTAACTATAACTGCCAATGTGACTTCCGGATCCGACTTAGCAATCGTAAGCTTTCAAAAGCCGCTGTCAACTCTGACCAAGACAGTGAAACATCCTTTAGATAAGGGATCATATAATCCTCTGTTCTCAAGATATCAGCTGGAAAAATACATGGAATAATGTCATACTTATTGTCCAGTAGTTTGTTTCCCGATTTCCGATTCGTCTGACATAGAACATACTTGAACACATCAATTTAGTTATGACCGAGCTTGACACATAGTCAAAACAGAATCATCGAGGGGCCCAAGATATCGCTTTTAATCCTCTTAGGATAAAAGGGAAAAAATAAACTTCGACATTATATGCTTGTACTAACTACTCATTAAATCATGCACAATAATACGTTTTATAACACCAAGTTTGTAACATCCGGAATTACAGGTATGCTATTTTGATTATTTAATCATTTAATTTTTTGGAGTTATTGTAGGGACTCGAAAAGTTGGTGCCTTAACTCGTCGAGTAGGGTCGTGACTTTTAATGCGTTTTAGCGATTGGACTCGCCGAGTCGGGTATCTGACTCGACGAGTCGGTGCTGACGAGGAAAAACCTAATTTTTCGGGTTTAGGACCTATTTAAAGGTCCTTATGGCCTTCATTTGCGGCCACTTACACCCTGAGAAAACCCTAGAGAGCGAAGAGAGCTTAGAGAGCAAAGGAAAGCCAAATTCATCATCCTTTTTGGCATGTTCTTGTAAGAAGGAGTGGGAAAGTCCAAGCTAGGTCGATTGTGGAGCTTGGGTTTGTGTTATTCATTCCGAGATTCGCTTCTGGAGGTACAAATCCTTTCCCATTTCATGTATTTGAAAGATTTCTTGAGTCTAGGGTTTCTTTGCATCATTTTGAGTTGGGTTATGAAGCATGTGTTGTCCCAAATTGGTATAGATGTTGGATCTGGACCATGAGAGGTCCAAAAAGTCCCAACCTTCCAGCTTTATGTTGTTTCATGCGAGTTTTGAGAGTAGGCTACCATTTTAAAGGTTATTTCTTCATTTATGGCTTTGTATGTGTTGCATGAACGTAAAGTTTGAACCTTTACGTGACTTTTGAGTGCTAGAAGGTTAGATCTACTAGTTAGAGAAGCAGAACTGACCTTAGAAGGTCGTTTAAGTGTTGTCATGGAAGGAACTCGCCGAGTCCATAAGGGGACTCGACGATTCGAGTCGGGTTGCCCCGCAATTCATGACCTATGGTAACCTGTCGAGTGGAAGGTTTACTCGACGAATCGAGTGAGGTTTAGAAAGATCCAGAGGACACGCTTGGACTCGCCGAGTCACCTATGTACACTCGACGAGTCTGGTCAAAGTTTGACCATTGACTTTCGTTGACTTTTAGGGTTGGGTCAACATTTGTACTTTTGGACCATTAGAAGGGTAAATGGTCTTTTAG